TCCATATTAGTTGTATAGGGACGTACTTAGGAGGGAAGAGCAGGCTCAATCTCTCTTGAAGGAGATTATCGTCACAACAGCAACAGAGAACAACGAAGAAACAAAGGCGAAAATGGAATGCAGCACGTTAAAGAAGCGCAGGATCAGGGTCAAGGTCAGCGAAGTCAGGGTTAGGGGGGCATGGGTAAACTGAGTATCGAAGGAGGGGAAGGGAGCTAGAGGACCGACCAGGGGCGGACAAGCAGGGTCTGGAGGAGGAAGAGGGGGAGGGGACAACCGAGGGTCAAGGATAGCAGCAGGAGAGGCAGAAACCAGGGAGGGCACCTCAGCAAGGGAAGCAGGGGCCAAAGAGACCTCCATAGCGGGAACAGCTGGGAGAAACCACCGAAACAGGAGGGGATGGAGCGAGAGAGTCAGAGGTAGGGGGGTGAGGAAGAAAGCGAAGCCTTCTTACCTGCAGGGGAGGAGGATGGAGAGGAACCAGGCTTTCGCTTCTGAATCAAAGAGACAGATATCCCAGCAACAATGTACTGGGCAACAGATTCCAGCGTCTTAAAAGGAGAAGCAGAACGAGAACAAACACGACAGCCGTTGGGAGAGTGATGGACATCAGCCCGCACTGACAGGTGGCGTGGAGAGCCATTAGACGGAGGAGAAGGATGGGATGGAGGATCGGAGGGAGACGAGGAAGAAGACACAGGAGACATGACAGACTGGGAAGAAAGAAAGGGAACCCCAGACAGAGAGGCAGGAGGGGGAACCCTGCGGGCCAGAAAGCAAAGGAACAGAGGAGGAGGCGGTGGGGGTGTCTGGGTTTAGGGCCTGGAAACGGTTGTGAGACTGAGGAAGGCAGGAAGGACAAGGAGAGGAAGAACGCAACACGCAAGCATAAGAGACGTTAGCATAAGGGGGAAGACGGTGAACTTGCCACCTTGTTTCAGGAAAAGACAAACGTTCCCGGTGTTTCAAGTTGAGGACAGCTGCCTCAAGCTAGTAATGTATACACGCGCGGGAGAAGGTAGGGTGGGCCTCACCGCAATTGAGGCAGCGAGCCTGGGGAGAAGTGCACTCTGACTTAGCGTGACCTTCATCCCCACACACAGGGCAAAGAGAGAGAGACAGTACTGGAGCAGTGAAGGGCTCCATGCCCTAACCTCCTGCTCTTATTACAGAGCTGAGGAGAGGGAATGTACTCCTGGACGGAGCACCTGCCACCAGCAAGAATGACAGGGCGGAAGGGTCCTACCATCAAAGGTAATCTTCACAAGCCGAACGGGTTGACAGCGACAACCACGAGGGGGATGAGTAAACGAGTCCACCTGGAGGACAGAACGGCCTTGGGCTTCGAGGACATGCCGAATATCTTTGTGGTAGTCCTGTAGATTCCGAACACCGGTCGCAACATGGGGCGGGAGGAGAATAGTGCAAACACTGGCATTCAACCGAGCGTTCTTGGAGACCCAAACAGGGGTCTCGCCAAGGCAGGATAAGATGGCAAATTGGGAGGCCGCATCCTGAGAAGGAGCAGCAACGACACATGTACCAAAGTGGGTGGGGTTGAAGGTAACAGAGGCATCCACCGAATCAACAAGGTGCCTATGGAGAAATCGTCAGGAGGCATAGAATCAAGAGGGAGGAGATCAAAGTATTTGGTCCACGAAGCGGAACCAAACAAGGCTTGAAACGCATCAGTACGGGAAGGAATCGAGCGAGCATGGCTGAGGCGAGGACGGCATTGAGAACCCCCAGAGAGTGAGGGGTTAAAAGATACAGTAGTCACTACTAAAGACTGAGCCGCGCCAGGGGACGAGGTGGTCACCACTGGGGGCTTGGGGCTCGACCCAACCACAAGAGGAGGGAGGGGAGCAGAGGGGAGTAGTCAGGAGGGTCAGAAGAGGAGCAAGGTCGGGGCCCAATGCAGCTTAGGCTACAGAGCCCGGTCTTCCAACACGGTCTGACTCGGGGGCTTGGTCGCCCACCCCACGTGCCTGAGAAGGGATAAAAACAACAGAATTCGACATAAAACGAGTTATACATTCTCTCACGTATGTGCCCCCATACCCACCAAAGAGCCACAATTAGAGGCAGGACACCCAACAAGAAGCTATCGCCGATCATGCCGGGGCCCCCTTGGGGTGCGTCGTGAATATACACCCTATAAACGCCACCTTAAGAACCGTCAGTCCATCGAGATTGGGTTCAGTGACGAAAAGAGGATTGACAATATAATGGTCCCCTCGCTCTCGACGTCGGGTACTACAGTTCTACGGGTGCAAGAGTATGCCTCCTCAAACACCCGGGCATCAAAATAGAAGTCCAAAAGAATAATCAAAACAGGCAAAAGGTCGGTAGGAAATGACAATTAGAAAGGAGAAGAGGGTGGGAGAAAAACGAAACATAAGGAAAAGGAAAAGTGATCCGGCAAAATTAGAGAAGACAGCAGCAGGAACATAAGGCTACAAAAGGACAGAGGACTGTCCCACGGAACATCACACTCCAGCAGCCGACCACCAAGGAGCCTCACGGCGCCAACGGGCCGGATAGGGAGGGGTTTCATATTTGTATCTAACCTACACTTGAAACAATCAAGGGATCCCACTTCTCTTACGATGTTCGGTAACTTGAACATAACTCTGCAAGTTTGATAAAAACCAGTATTTACCCAGGACTTTCCTGAATCTAAACTTGCCCAGTATATATCCATTGTTTCCAGCATTATTTTCTTATACTTAAAAACTTATTTGAATCCCATTATGTCATGTCCATTCAGTCGTTATAGTTTTCAATCTTGTCATCCCTGATTCTTCGTTTTGCTAGACATTGTAAATTTTGCATTTTTAAATGCAAAATTAGGGTTCCTAATTTCTGGGATACTAAACTTTATTTTTCTTCTCTCTTTGCGTCCAATTGAATATATGTTTATTTCATACGTGAAAGTGTAGAGACCAAAACCGAACTTCATAATATAAATGGTGCCTAACAAGGGCAAGATTAGGTTTGCTTAAGTTGGTAACATCTTTGCTTTAGTCAGTCTACAGAATTACCTCAACCAATTCGTTCCCATCCTTAACCATCCCTTCGCCGAAGTTTTCTCTAATCACTCGTTTATGCGATTAGAGAAAACATCCATTTCTTTTTATTAGACTTTCCCTTTGAGATCCGGCTTCCATAAATCACAGATTGTTTCTGTCAAATAAGAGACACCTCGCAGCCAACACCTGTGTGTGATGATCTCAAGTGTTGTTTCTTGGCTCCGACTCAGAGGCAGAGGAGTGTCTCGATCTTGGCTCCGGCTCCAACTCACCCTCCTCGCCGTCTAGATGACAGATATATACATTGACCAATAAGGTCTCGTGCCAATATTCAGGATTGTTGTTGCTTTAGATTCAGCAACTTAGAACAAAAAAGTTGCAAGTAGCACGGGCTATGGTGAGCCCGTAGTGGACATAATAATCTTCAGGAATCCAGAGCCTAGCCTGATTCCAGGAGATAATCTGAAGATACGAACTGATGCCACATTTGGAAATAATCTTCCCCAGGCAACTCTTGATAATTCCACAAAATAGATATTAAACAATAAATATATAACTTATATACTGCTAATTCTAACTAAAGATACTCTGGGCTGTCTGATATGTTTTTTAAAGGCGATGCCAGATCTGCAACATGTGTTAAAAAGATACTTTCTGTATCTAGTTTCATTATTATCCACTTGCTTGATTTGAACACTAGTATCTATTTATTGGATTATTCTTTCCTTTGTCTAGGTCATCTTGTAGCTCCTTTCGTTCTTTATATTAACCCTCATCGTTATTTTATCGTCTTCAGCATACATTGAGATAAATGTGTCTCTCCCGCCTTGATAGAGGCTAGACCTGAGATCTGTGGGACTCTGGGCACATTTCGTCATTCTGAGAACACTCCTCTGGTAACTTGCGTACTTATTTCCTTATTCACTGTCATCTTACCTGTCACTCCTGGCTGCTTCTCCAACTTGTGCACTTGTCTCTTGCTGGACATCGTGTCGAAAACTTGCAGACAATCCACACATTTGCGAGCTGGTCACTCTTCTCTGTCTTGTCTAATATTGTTCGCCCGATCATTCAATTCTGTGAAGCAAGTTAAGCAAAGTTTTCCATCCCTGAACACATGTTGGTGGTGCAACATAAGGTCTCTTATCTCTATATGTGCAACTTGGCTCTTCTTAACAAAAATTCTTACTTTGCCTTACATTGTATGCAAGTTATGAGTACACACACACGAGGCCTCTATTGTAGTGCCTCCTGTCTGTCCATAGAGAAATTAAAAACTTTCTATGAGATCCATTTTAACATTTATGTGAATAAAGTTTGTACAGTACAACTTATCCATCATTTGTATGTAGCTCTCGAGATTTAATTGTCTGATGTTGGTCCCTCCTTGAGGCTCTGTCTCATCACTGACCTCGACACACCCTGGACACTGTTCTGTCCCTCCCGCATCTCAAACTTCATCTTAACATAATGACCTAATCCCATCATCCACCCCCCCCCATGTATGGTGTATGTGCACGCGCACGTGTGAATGTGTAAGTTATTTGTGTATATACTCACATATTTGTACTCGCCAGCTTGTTCCCGCTAGGTCAAGCTCCAGCTCTGGTACCCGTCTTTCCTGCCGCCAGGTGTCTGACACAGCAATTACCTGCCTAAATTTCTCCTACCATATCTACTTTTGAAATTGTGGATAGAATTATCTTATGTCTATCTGCTTGTTTTATCTATTTAACTTACTATTATGCTTTAAAAAATACACAAGTCAATGTGTGTGTATTTTTTAAATTATACAATCTATATGAATACATTTTTAAATGTATCCAACAAGCCATTTCATGGAGTGGTTTGTTGTCTTCACGATACAGTCGCCTCCATCAAGTGAGAGAGGCGCCTACAGTCATCATGTAAAGTGTGTCCTCACTTATGACAGAAGTGCCTCCTTAATCAACACTTTCTCTTCACCAGAGACGCCCTACTTATGGGTGGGTGGCACGGACGAGGGCCACGAAGGCTTCTGGAACTGGGTGGATGGACGCCCTGTTAACCTGCTGGCCACTTACTGGAGAGAACATGAGCCAGAATCCAACACATCATATAATTGCATTGCATTTGAATCCATCTATGAATCCATCAATAGGATGCGCCTCACTAGTTACTCCTGTTCTATCTCAGAACTCTTCCTGTGTCAGCTGGGTATTCACGCCCTGAAATAGTTCATGAAGTGGTGTTATGTAAACCCCGGCACGTCAAGCTGAGTGTAAACACACAGATACACACACACACACACACACACACACACACACACACACACACACACACACACACACACACACACACACACACACAGTTTCAAAGCGTTATATGACAAAGAGTGCTGGGAAGACGGGACACCACGAGCGTAGCTCTCATCCTGTAACTACACTTAGGTAATTACACTTAGGTAATTACTTTTAGGTAATTACACACACACACTCACACTGTTTTGCAGGGTGGTAGACGGTTGGAACAAGCTAAGTAAAAAGGTGGTGGAGGCAAAAACCATCAGTCGTTTCTAAGCGTTATATGACAAAGAGTACTGGGAAGACGGGACACCACGAGCATAGCTCTTATCCTGTAACTACACTTTGGTAATTATACTTAGGCAATTATACTTAGGTAATTACTCGCGGCTAAGCGGACTCAACTCGGGGGTCGTAGTCCTAAGGGCACCGGGTTCGATTCCTGGCAGAGGCAAACAAATGGACAGTGTTTCTTTCACCCTGATGCGTCTGTTCACTGACCAGTAAATAGGTACCTGGGAGTTAGATAGCTACTGCGGGCTGCTTCCTCGGTGTGTGTGTGTGTGTGTGTGTGTGTGTGTGTGTGTGTGTGTGTGTTTTAGAGGGAAATATATATAGTAGATTTAATAGAGAAAAAATAGATTGGTTAGAAATTGGGGGTCCAAGAGCTAATAGCTTCATTCTGTAGGCATAAATAGTAAATAAACACACACTTACACACACTTACGTACACACGAGTGTCTAATTCATTAAAATTTATCTTCCTTGATTGACATGGTGCTGTATAACAGTTGCATACTGTTGTTCTCCAAAAAGCATGTGTGGTATACCAATATACTGTAACAAGAGAGCAGTACATAGTAGTACACCATGAACATCATAACAACATGAACAAGCCACGTGGAGCAGCAACAAACCACAGGCGCGGCGCCAGTCAGGCGGCGGCAGATAATGGAAAAAGTTACACCTCTGTACAAGATAACCAGGAGGACAGGTCAACGGTCACCGAGTCACGAGGAGGTCAGAGTTGATGCTGTCATGATAATCTACAGGGATTAACTCCTCCACATCAAATGCAAACCCTCATGTTCAGCTGGGGAGCAGGAGATCATGCAAGAGAAAACAGTAGAGTGGGTGAAGCTCAGTAGGACGGTGTGAGTGGACTCAGGGAGGGAACATCATCTCCAGGAGAACTGTTGTACACCATGCGAGTAAGTACGGCTCTCTTAAACTAAAGCACCTCATTCAGTACTCTTTGCTTCTGGTAGGGAATATAGATAGGGAGTGTCTTATTTAATTATTTCAAATAAAGTCATATATTGTCAAGTGTTATTAAATGTGTATTAATGGTTCCTTGTCGTAGGGATATTGGGCCTACCGTCCCCTTTGCCCTAGTGACCTAGTGTCCGTAATTATCCAGTACTCCTCCCCCCGTCCATCCCGTGTTGAGGTGTTAGTAGTGGGTGTGTCCCGCCTTATTCTTGTGTACTCTATAGTTCCCAAGTGGTCAGGATTATTCGAGTGACAGGCCAGGATCCTTGTACCGTTCAATTGTCCCCTACACCTGTCCTGGTAGGTTTATACCATCTGCAAGACCTACGAATCTCACTCCAGTCCCCTGTCCGGTAACTCAGGGTGGTGGCAGCATTACTCGGTAACTCATACGAAGGCTGTGACTACGAATATTTCTATCTTTCTATCTCACTCTCCCACACTAGGTTCTCTCTCGCCCCCACTCGCTCTCGCTCTCCTTCCCTTGCTCTCGTCCTCACTCTTCCTCACTATCTCTCTCTCTCTCTCTCCTTTGTTTACTGGTTTACGTCCTCGTATGACGGCCCGAGTGTTAAACATCTTACATGATCGGTAAAGCATCCGTTATTACCACAGAAGGAGCAGAGATTGCACGGTTATTTCAGTGGTAGTAGTGGGTGGCGCGGTCGAGATATTACAATACGAGGCTATCCTCCTGTTTTGGTAGTACTCAAAGTAACGAAGAGGACCATAGTCCATATACCAACGTTCAACGACAATAGAAAGAAGAAATCGGTACTATTGAGTTTGGACAATTCGATAAAAGATTTAATATTTATGTTGCAAAGACAAACTAAACTAACCTAACCTTCCTAGGCCTAATATACGATATTTGAGGCTTAATATAGTACATATATGTGCTATACTACGTCTACCTTGAGGTGCTTCCGGGGCTTAGCGTCCCCGCGGCCCGGTCGTCGACCAGGCCTCCTGGTTGCTGGACTGATCAACCAGGCTGTTGGACGCGGCTGCTCGCAGCCTGACATATGAGTCACAGCCTGGTTGATCAGGTATCCTTTGGAGGTGCTTATCCAGTTCTCTCTAGAAATATTTGAGTTTTTTTACCCTCATTTTTCTCGGACTTTCGAAAGTGAATAGTACAACATTCTACTAAATGCTTAGTACGTCAATATTTTTACTATAGTGCACATAGTTACAAAAACTACTATCTAAACAGGAGAATGGGATGCAGCTTACTTGCCTCAGTGAAGGATGTCACCTTATGGCCACCACAATGGTTTCGAGAAGACTGGTCTGCCATCTACAAGTTGGTGCCCCTTGAAACCATATGTCAAGTGTACACAACACAACACTCACTAGGTACATGCCAGTATATACAACAATCTTGGCATCCACCACTGACTAAACCAAATTGCAATTCCTGGATGCTATACTTAAGAGAAAAAAAAGAGCCACTTTAAATATAGAGAATAACGATTTGGTTACCTTGCCGACACTCAGACCTCACCAACCTTGCCGACACTCAGACCTCACCAACCTTGCCGACACTCAGACCCAAATCTCACCAAACATCTCTGGATAACGACGACATTTCTGCAGTTTTTTTCCCCGTCTCAGAGAGTACTAGAGTTTTACGCAACGCCTTACGCAATGTTTGATTGGTTGTTACGGCCACTATGGGTCGCAACCAGGTTCTTTGCTGGAGGAACCAAAGTACTAGTATCAAACCCCAAGTCGGTAGTGGCTTTCAAGGAGTTGGCTTGGTAATGCAAGTAAAAAAAAAAGGGGGAAGTTGAAAGGAATACGACACTTCATCCTTTATCAATATATTCACATATTATCACTTTCCCATCACCTTAAATAGAGTCATAAACGAAGTATTACTACACTGATATTTACACATGTATCGCTCTCATAGGACACCAAGCGCTCCTCGATACTCATGCAATGCAGCCTTGTCAACTTCCATGTTTCCTCAACACACAGTACCGTCCTCAACCAGTACTGGGAAACACCAACGAATCTACCCCTAGCCATGGGGCAGGCCTATCTACAGTAGCACTAGGTGCTCCTTGTAAACGCCTGGTGCTGGTAGAGAACATCAGCCTCGCGCTGCTGGGCCTCCACACGAACAAACCCCTGGCAGGAGCTTCTTGCAACTAGCTAGTTACACTCCTCCGTAGCACCTCACTGTCGGTCATCTCTTCCTCTAGCCAGTCTCGGGATACGACGAATTCTGTCATTGCCAGGCAGCAGATACGACTCGGTTCCTCTTCGGCGGCGGCTCACTGCTCACGTAAAACAAAATGGAGTAGAGAGATAATAGGCTGCCCTGGGTAGACTGCCTGTCTTTTATTTTTTTATTTTATTTTATTTATTTATGCATATACAAGAATGTACATAAGGAATGTGAGGATACAAATATGGTAATTACAGTCTTGTAAAGCCACTAGCACGCGCAGCGTTTCGGGCAGGTCTTTAATCTAAGAAAATTTTAAGGAGGTAAATACTTGCAAAATTTATAGACAAAAAAATTATAACAGATTACATGAAATGAAAAAAAAAAAGATGAGAGAAAATTGTAGGTACAGTATATTAAAGCACATAGGTAGCTAAGATTGATTGCAATGACAGCTTAAAATGGTAGTTGACAACAAATTGGTAGGCACAATACAGCAGAAACAATATAAGATTGATTGCAATGACAGCTTGAATGGTAGTTGACAAAAATTGGTAGTCACAATACAGCATATGGCTAGCACATAAAAGAAGACAGCAATGAACACAATGATAAGGTTGTTTGATATTACATAAAAATTAGGAGATTGTGTAACACTAGGTACAGAGCAAATTTAAAGCTCAGTGTAGGAAACTAAGAAGATGAAGTTAGGTACTTTTTGGTTTTGCTTTTAAATAAGGCAAAAGTTTTACAGTTTTTCAATTCACTAGGGAGTGAGTTCCATAGACTAGGTCCCTTAATTTGCATAGAGTGTTTACACAGATTAAGTTTGACCCTGAGGATATCAAAGAGATATTTATTTCTGGTGTGGTGATAATGGGTCCTATTACATCTGTCCAGGGAGAGTTTCAGAGCATGGTTTGCAAAAGAAACTATTAAATTCATTTGCCATTTCTAAATCAGTTGACGGTATAGCCCCATCCTTGTAGAGTTTTATTTGGTTATGTGAGTGTTGTTTAGTTCCTAGGATACTAGAGATAGTTTTCCAAGTGCTTTTCATGTTGCCTTTTGCTTCATTGAATCTATTCACATAATATGCAAGTTTTGCCTTTCTTATGATACTGGTAAGCATTGATGAGTACCTTTTAGCTACTTCCTTTGAAACTAGGCCAATCCTAACTTTCTTTTCATATTCATGTTTCTTGTTGATTGAGTTGAGAATGCCACTTGTGAGCCATGGATTGTTTAATCTTTTGTCAGTTACTTGCTTGGTAAGAAGGGGACAATGAAGGTTGTAGAGGCTTTGAGTTTTGGAGAGGAAGAGGTTAGCTAATGAATTTATATCATGGGTATTATTGAATTCAGAATCCCAGTTAATATTGTAAAGTGCCTCAATAAGATTGTCTAAAGCTGATTCACTGTGTAGCCTAAATGAAAGTTTCTTGCTTTTTGGTGGTGTTATGTCCATGTTCGCTATGAGAAAGGTAGGATAGTGGTCAGTTGTTCTGTCGTAGATTATACCAGATACAAGGGGAGCTGTTATGTTTGTCCATATGTGGTCCAAGGTAGTGGCTGATGTTTGAGTGACTCGGGTAGGTTTGGTGATTGTGGGGATT